CCATGCCAAGGTGGTTGTTGCAAGAAACAAGAACAGCGAAACTAGGCTGATCCAGATTCTGGAGACAGGGAACGGAAGCAAAGCAACAGAAGTAAAACCCAGAAATGCCTGAGAACGCCAATAATCAGTTTCGGTGCACCAAGTTAGCAAGAGAGATTCAAGTAGGCTTGTGATCCATGTCCAATTTGATCAATTCTTCCCCATGAGCAGTGAATATCTGAATTCATAAAAGGCGATCTTGACGTTCACAGCCAATTCCGTTCCTTGCGGTTGAAAACTAGTCTCTAAGAAAGAAGCAGCCTGTTTGTTTTCATGGTCTCCACCGCTGGAATCCTTGCGAAGTTCACGTGCTAAGTCAGCCGTTCGTTGAGAGGTTCTTGATAACGCATGCTCGCGCTAAGATCATTCAAGATTTCTTCATTCAATCGTACAGCAGATCAGATCTCACTTCTCAGTATCGTATCTTCCAGTAACATTTCGCCATGTCGGGTCGCAGCAAATTCACGAGCGTCAATCTCAACAGCTCCTTCGGGAGGCAGAGCTCATCCCAGTCCCAGTCCGGTCCCGGGCAAACCACAGCCGTCGGATCCAGATTCGGACGGTCAGGATCGTTCGGGAGCATGATGGTGCTGGGGAAGGTCGCAACCCCCAGCGCGTTAGGGGCCAGCAAGAGCGGGAAGCTGGTCGTGCCGAAGCCGGTTAACCTGCCGTCCCTGCGTCGAGAGCACGCGGGCAACGATCCGTCCGTCTCGCTTGTTCCCGCGAGCAGCACAGTCTCAGGATGGCAGAGGCCCCTAGGAGGGAAGCCGCAAGGAGAAGGGACACCTGCAGCTGCTCCTTCACTCTCAGGATCAACATCAGCATCAGCGACAGCAGCAACAGCAGCAGCGGCATCAGCAGCAGCAGCAGCAGCAGCAGCAGGAGTATCAGCCGCAGTTCGCTCGTCAGGTGCGACACTCGAGGCGCGACGATGCGTCTCCCTATCCCCTCCTCCTCAAGGTTTCGACTTTCCCCCAATTTCAGCAGCATCAGCAGCAACAGCAACAGCAGCGGCAGCAGCGGTGTCCGGAGCCGAGCCGAATCGCGCCTCCTCGGCGCACCGACCTGGGGTGTACCAACCACCAGGCTCACGTGGCGGTAGCAGTGCCACGTCAGCCTCCACGTCAGCTGTTTCGGCAATTGGAAACACCGGGGTTGTTTTACGCGGGGAAGATTTCCCCTCACTGGATGATGCGACAAAGAAGCCAGCAAGCGGTGTTTCAGCAAGCGTCGGACGCGGTAAGGAGCAACAGGGCAAGAAGAAGACGAAGGCGTTAGAGGCTAATAACGGGGATGAGTTGGCTCGAACGGCGCAGGCGCATGAGCGCGGCGGAGGGGACGAGGCAGGTCGGGCGACGGAACGGTCCCAGGGTAGCGATGCGGCGACGAAACGGGTTACCAGTGGGCGATGGGGTGACGAAGAATCGGATCACGAGCAGAACGAACGAGATCCTCTGTCCGGATCACAGCCAAACAAGGCGCCGGACTCTTTTTCTAGAAACCAAGTAGACGAGGCTTTTGGCGATTCAGCTACTTTTGGTGCGGACAGGATGGACAAGCATCCCCGTTATAAGGAGAACGAGAGACCGAGCAGGTATGGCGATGGCATGCTTCCGCCAAATCGGTTCGGTCCGCCACCCGGGGGAGGCTTCCGCCGACCTTCCCCCCCGCGCAGAGCATGGGCGGACGATGAGCGGGACCTTGCGCCACCCCAACCCCCTTATCCGCCGCCCGGGGGAAGAATGCCTTATCCGCACAGATTTGACGGTCCTAGGGGTCACTTCGACGGTCATGGTCCCCCCATGGGTGGAGACTCGGGGGGTGGACTTATTAACGGATGGGACTCTAGAGAGGGGTTCCGCGATTATGGGCCGAGAAATGACGCCAGGGAGTGGCATGGGGATCCGCGGCATGGCGAGGCGGCCATGTGGCGCAGGGAGGACGCGCGCGGATGGGCGGAACGGCCTCCCGCGGGGAGAGGCGGAAGAGGGCCGGGCCCAGGCCCCTCAGGTCCCTCAGGGCCCCCAGGTCCGCCGGGTCCGCCAGGTTCCGCAATCCCCCCAGGTCCCCCGGGTCCCCGAGGCCCCCTAGGCCCATCGGGACAAGCGGGACGACCGGGGCCGTTAGGTCCGCCAGGGCCGCCGGGACTGCTAGGGGCGCCGGGGTTCGGACCAGCAGGGGGACCGCCAGGGCCGCCTTTCCCGGGTGAGTATGAGCGGTACGGGCCCATGGGGGATGGTGGGAGAGGAAGAGGGGGCAGTGTTGGTGGATATGGTCCGAGGGAGGAATTTGCCAGGGGTTTCGGGCCAAGGCAAGGTTTTGGCCCCGGTCAGGGATTTGGGCCTGGTGAGGGTTTTGGCCCCGGTCAGGGTTTTGGTCCCGGTCGGGGTTTTGGTCCTGGTCGGGGTTTTAGGCCGAACGGGGAAGGTGGAGGGAGGGGCATGGGTCCAGAAGTTTTTGCCCATGGGCCGAGATTGGAATTGCAGTCCTTGCCACGTGTAGGGGTGGAACCTCCGCCTAGCCTTGGGCTTGGTATGCTAGGGCAGCTGCGGCGAAAAAAATTGGAGGGCGAGGGTGGGCGGTCGGAGTTTCGGGATGTGGAAAGAGAGCGATTTGAAGAGGAGCTAGAGAGGTTGCAGTCGCAGAAGAATAAGGAGAAGGTGAGGAAGGAAGAGGAGGAGCAGCGGGCGACGGAGCTGGCGAGGCAGCAGCAGGAGGAGGCGGTGAGGAGGGGAAGAGAGGAGGAGGAGAGGAGGCGGAGAGTGGAGGAAGGGGAGAGAGAAGCGGCGAGGAGGGCGAAGGTGGAGGAGGAGGAGGCGGTGAGAAGGGTTGAGGAGGAGAGGAGGAGGGTGCAGGAGGAGAAGCGGAAGATTCAGGAGGAGGAGGAGAGGAGGAAGGAGAATGCGAGGAGGAAATTGGTTGAGTTGGAAGAGAGGATTGAGAGGAGGAAGGCGGAGGAGGAGGAGAGGAAGAGGAGAGAGCAGGGGAAAGAGGAGGAGGACGGGAAAGAGGGGGAGGAGCGAAACGAAGCAGAGGAGCGGTGTGGGGTGCTGAGCGGTGCTGGGCTGGAGCAGCAGGGTGGGGTCTCGGTGAGTGTGGCAGAGTCAAGTCATGAGGAAAAGAGTGCGGTGCTTGGGGAGGGCCGAGAACACGAGGGGCAGGGGCAGGGGCAGGGGCAGGGGCAGCATGAGCAGAAAGGAGAAGTCGCACCAGAATGTTCTCAAGAGGAAGAAGGAGCTGCAATTGGGGCTAAACCTGCTGGTTGTGATGGTGGCAGTATCCAGGAAACTTCTGAGCTGACTCAAGAGGCTGCCGCTGCTGGTCGTGAATCTGAGATCGGTCAAGGGATTGGTAATAAGGACGAGAAGAATGGGACCATTGCTGAAGTGGCAAAAGGTGTTACGTGGGCAGATGGCGAGGGGGTCTGTGGTGAGGAAAAAGCGATAGGGCGCGAAGTGGGAGGGGTGGGTGGGGAGAGGTTCCAAGAGGAGATTAAGCAGGTCGGTGGAGAGGGAGGAAGAGGGGTTGAGGGAGGGGATGAAGGAGTAGGAGGGGTAGGGGAAAGGGACGACTCCCATCTAAACCTGCAGGAGTTGCACAAAGCACAGCAGCAGGTGCAGCAGAAAGAGCAGCAGGAGCTGCTGCAGCAGCAGCAGGAGGAGCAGGAGCAGCAGGAGGTGCAGGAGAAGCAGCAGGTGGGGCCTATGGCTGGGTCCGCCCCTGCCCCACCACTCTATCACGCGAGTGCGGATGCGGGGCAGAAAGGAATGGGAGAGAGGCAGCAAGAAGCGAGTCAGCAAGGAAATCACGCAAGTACTCAGCGTTTCTTTGACTCTACAACTCGCACGGAAGGGCCTTTTGCTGGGACTAACGAGGGCGCTGGGGTTCGTATGACTGGTGAAGGCTCAGACGGCGGCGGTTTTGGGCTATCGCCATGGAATCAGCATCAGCAACAGCAGTACCAGCATCAGCAGCAGCAGTACCAGCACCAGCAGTACCACCAGCAGCAGCAGCAACAGCAGCAGCAGCAGCAGGTGCAGGGGCTTTCGTTTCCTGCGTACGGTTTTCCTGGCCCAGGCCCTCTATTGCGCTCCCATCAGTTCGCCCCACCTTACCCTCACTTCCCTGCGATGCAGCAGCAGCATGTGCATCCCCACCCCTTCCTTCAGCCATTGCAGGGGCAGCAGCAGCAACAGCAGCAGCACCAGCAGCAGCAGCAACAGCAGCAGCAGCAGCAGCAGCCACCGTTGCTGCACCGGCCGCCTGGGCTTGCTCCTGGATTCCTCGCTCATGGGAATGCTGGGCGCGGCTTTCCCTCGTTTTCTGACAATACCCCAGCAGTGGGAGCAGTGGGGCAAGTGGGGGCAGTAGGTTCAGTGGGTACTGTGAATTCAGTTTCAGCTGGAGGAGGAGCAGGGGGGGAAGCAGGAGGAAGAGGAGCAGGAGGAGGAAAAGGGGGAAATGCTGGTGTGGCAGCGGGCAGGGTAGGGCACCAAAGAAAGGAAGAATTTGGAGGGAGAGAGGTGGGTGGTGTGAGAGAGACGGCCAGTGGGAAAGAGTCGGGCAGTCAGGGACAGAAGCAGTTTACAGAGACGGGGAATTGTGGTGGGGTGGTGGTGAGGGACAGTCGATGGGGAGAGTCTGGGTCCGGGCAGTATATGGAATGGAGAAGGATTGGACCTGAACCTGCTCCCGGTATGTTTCTCGGGCAGGCTCGGCAGCCAGGAGGAGAGCAGTGGCAGGGACGGCCCGGTTTTGGGCAGGATGAAATTTCTGGGGGATCAGGACGGGCAGACGGGCGAAATTGGGCGAATCAACTGAATGGGGTAGGAGGGGGGGATGGGCATGAGAGGAGGGGAATGGGAGAGATGGGGCAGCAGATTTGCAGTTTAGGGTTGCAGGTGGGGAAGGGTGAGGGAGAAGGGCGGGCAGAGGGGAGGGAGAGGGGAGTGATGGGGGCGATGGGTGTGGAGCATGACTCGGAAATGAGTGAATCTGAGAGTCTCCCTGCTGATGTGGTGAATGAATTGGGTGCGCTGCTGTCTGACCGAGAGGAAGGGGGTATGTCTGATAGAGAGGAGGGGATGGTGGGAATGGGTGACCATGAGCGGGTGGTGTCGGGGGAGCTGGGTAGAGAAGAGAAACATAGGGTGGTGGGAAACGAAGGGCCGGATTCTGTTCAGCGAGAGGGAGTGGTGGGTGATAAGGTGGGTGGCAAGGGAGAGGTGGAGGCGGAGGGGAACCAGATTCCTGTGAGAGGTGGAGAAAAGGGAATTGCCGTTGAGAAGAACGGGGATGGGACTGCCCCTGCTGCTGCTGCATTTGCTGTTAGTGCTGCTTCCAAGCCGTTCCTCCCGTCCATAATGCGTTCCTCTGGAGCTCCCTTTGTCATTCAAATCGGTTCCGTGCCTCTCACTGTTTGGGGCCCTGCCCAACTGCCCGGGCAGAGTGAAATTTCTGGAGCGTGCCCTGTGCCGGTGTTTCAGTTCGGGCAGATTGGTGTGCCGGTGTCAGTGTCACCTCCTCTTCATGCTGGCCCTCAAACCACTGGGCCTGATGTTTCAGGGATGGGCGTCCAAGGAGACAAGCAGCAGCAGAATGAAGATTCGGTGCAAAAGGTGGTGCCACTAGAGCCGTTGCTGCCCCTTCCAGTTTCAGCGGCCGTCCCTGGCAGTGACGGGGCAGCAGCAGCTTCACTGCGAGGAGTAGGAGGAGGAACAGCAGCAGCAGCAGGAGGAGGAGGAGGAGGATTGACAGGAGCCGCAGGAGCAGGCGCAGGAGCAGGAGCAGGAGAAGGAGCAGCAGGAGCAGCAGCAGGAGCAGCACTTGGCGGTGGGAGTGGAGGTGGGCGTGGAGCAGAAGGACGGTGCTGGTGCAGTTGTGAAGGCGGCTGATCGCAGGGAAGCAGCGGGGTGGGGAGGAGGGGGTCAGAGGAAGGAGAGGGAGCAACTGAGGCAAGGAGAATCCGTAGGAGGTAGGGTCGCGAGTGGGACAGAAGGAGCAGCAGCAGCGGCAGCAACACAACCAGCAGCAGCTGCAGCTGCAGCTGCGGCAGCAGCAATAGCAGGGCCAGCTGTAGGGGTGAGCAGTGGTAGGGGGGCGAGGGGTGGAAGGGGAGCGAGGGGTGGACATGCAGGGGGGCAGGTTGGGCAGGCACAAGGGCATGCGCAAGGGCAGGCACAAGGGCAGGCACAAGGGCAGGCACAACAAGGGCAAGTACAAGCACTCGCAGCAGGGGGGCGTGGGAAAGGCAAGGGTATGCTTACTACTGCCCCTTCTGTGCCTGGAATGACTTCTCGACCCGGACTTGCAGCCTCGGCTGCTGGTGCGGTAAATGGTCCGGTAGCTGGCTCGGTGACAGGTGCGGCAGCTGGTCCGATGACAGGTTCGGCTGTAGCTCTGGGGGCTGGTTCGGCAGCAGGCACAACTCCTGCTTGGTTCGTTGCTCAGGGTGTGAGGGTTCAGGAAGGAAGGGCAGGGCAGTACGTGGAAGTGCAAGGGGCAGGGTATTCTGAGATTAGAGGGAGTGATGGTGTGGTGGTGAGGACGAGGATAGGAGGGAGGGGAGGCGGCGGTGATAGAAGGAGGGGTGGCGGAAGGGGGAGGGGGGGAGATGTGTTGGGGAGGCAGGTGGGGGAGAGAGGAGGGAAGGGTGGAGAGAGTGCGGGGAAGAGAGAGGAGGTGGGTGTGAGAGTTCAGGGTGTGACTGTAGTGCAGGGTGATGGTAAAGGAGTGGAGGTGGACTGTAATGCACAGGTGAAGCAGGCAGCTGCAACTGAATCTGTAGCCAAAATCATCGTTGAAACTGTAACTGAAAGTGAAACTGTAGTAGAAACCTCAGCTGAAACTGTTTCTGCAACTGCGGCTGAAACCGTTGCCGAGGCTGCAGATGCTGCTGACGGCGCAAGTGGGTTGCGGCAGCCAGGGTCCTCACCAGGGGGGACTGCTGGATCTCCTGGGAGAACAGAGCATCTGGCAGATGCTGAGAGTGAATTGGCTTCAGGTGCTTCTTCAGGTGTTTTTTCAGGTGGTTCCGACAGTGGAGCATCAGAGGTGGAAGGTGCTTATGAGAGTGCTGCTGCAACGAGTGAGTCTGAGGGGGAGGAGGTAGAGAAAGGGAGAGGGAAGCATGGGGACGAGAGGGTCGAAGAGACGGAGCAGCAAGAGAAGGAGCCGAAGGCAGAAGTTAAGGAGGAAGCGGGAGCGGGCGAGAGAGCAATGGAGAAACTCCATGTAGTCAGTGCTAATGGGGATGCGAGTCAGCAGGCACAGCCCAATGCTTGTGAGGGAGACAAGCAGAAGCAGCAGCAGCAGAAGCAGCAGCAGCAGCAGCAGTCAAAACGTGCTGTGAGCATCCGACGGCCCTTTTCCATGTTCCCCACCGCCTTCCTCTCCTCCTTGGGATTCCTCTCAGGAGCCTCCTCCTCCGCCTCCTCCCCTTCTTCCACCTCTCCTCCCACAGGGAAAAACCAATCTGAAGCTCCATCAGAAGCTGTATCCCAGGTGCCAGGTAAAGAATCAGTGCAAGCATCAGAAGCATCAGAAAAGGCGAAAGGAGCAGAAGGAACAAAAGGAGCATCGGTGGAGGCACAGTCACAGGCAGCCGCCTGTGCAGCAACAGCTGATGATGCTGGTGCTTCTTCTGCTGCTGCTTCTGGTCTGAGTGTGGATGTGTCACCTTCAACAACGGTAGAAGCAGCAGCAGCAGCGGCGGCGGCAGCAGAAGATGCAGTGGAATTTGCATCTGGGAAGGCGGCAGCAGGAGTTTCTGCTCCAGCTGCTTCAGCAGGAAGTTCCCAAGTGGAATCACGCTCAGGGTCTAGGGGCAGAGAGAGGAAGGGGAGGAATTCGGGCGCGGGTAAGGAAGGGGCGGGAGGGGGGAGAACTGGGCAGCAGGGCAGCAAGCAGCGGACAGGTGTGGTGAGGACAGAGGCTCCTGAAGCTAGCTCTGGTGCTGGCGACAGCAAGAGCAGTGGAAGCAGGGAGGAGAGACGAGAAGGGAGTCATGGTCATGGGCATACGAAGCTTGACTGGCTGGTTTCAAGGCTGGAGAGTCTAGGGGATTCCGAGGTGCCTTTGGGAGGAGGGATAGTGAAGGTGTTTGAGCAAATAGGGGTGGAGCATGGAGGAGGGGAGGATGATGAGGGGTTTGTTACTGTGCAGTCGAAACGCGGGCGGAGGGAGCAGCGGGAGAGGGAGCAGAGGGAAAGAGAGCGCGAGGAGAGGGAGCGGGCGAGGGAGAAGGAGAAGGAGAGGGAAAGGGAGAGAGAGAAGGAGAGGGAGAAGGAGAGGGAGAGAGAGCGGGAGGCGAAGGCTCGAAGGCGGGAGCAACGTGTGAGTGCTATAGTCTGTGCTGCACTTGCAGCCTTATATCGGGTTTTTCTAGCATAGCCCATATTGCATTTGCTTCAATGTCTTTTCTGCTCTGTTCCCTTCCGTCTCTCCCCCTCCTGTGCCTGGTATATGATTCTTTGTTCCTGTTTCTACCTACCAAACTGTTGGACTCTTTTTCTTTCTTTCTTTTTTCTTTTTTTCCGCAGATGAAGGAACAGCAGCAGAAGCGCAAACACCCAGTCAACGCAAACACCACTGGGGTTGGTGTGGCCCTCCCTGCTACAACGGCTGTTACAGCTCCGGTTGAAACTGCAGTCACGGTTTCTATTGCTGCTGCTCCTGTTGGTGGTGGTGGCGAGCAGGTAAGCTGACTTTCTTTTCAGGCCTGAGCATGTTTGCAACACCTGGTCAATGCAAACACCACCGGGGTTGGTGTGACCCTCCCTGCTACAATGGCTGCTACAGCTTCGGCTGAAACTGCAGTCACGGTTTCTATTGCTGCTGCTCCTGTTGGTGGTGGTGGCGAGCAGGTAAGCTGACTTTCTTTTCAGTCCTGAGCATGTTTGCAACACCTGGTCAATGCAAACACCACCGGGGTTGGTGTGACCCTCCCTGCTACAATGGCTGCTACAGCTTCGGCTGAAACTGCAGTCACGGTTTCTATTGCTGCTGCTTCGGCCAGCGAGCAGGTAAGGTTATCAGACTTCCTTTTTCAAGCCTGTGCATGTTCGCAAGATCAGTTTATATTGTCCTGCTTCCTTGAGCGGAACATGCGTTTCTGTCCTGTCCTGTTGTCCTGAACATGCTCTTTTGTCTTCTTCTTTTCTTGCTTCGTTTTATGCAGATCCCCCCTCCTCTTCCTGCCTGTGAGCATGTGAAGTCCACTTCTGCTCTGCTTTCTGCGACTGCATCAAGGGGTAACCCTGTAACGCATGCTGTGCCAGCTTTGGCACCCCCTCCCATGATACTTGTCACTCCTCCCATGGCTGCTCCGGTGGCTGCTTCGGTGGCTGCTCCGGTGGCTGCTCCGGTGGCTGCTTCGGTGGCTGCTTCGGTGGCTGCTTCGGTGGTGGTTGCTTCGGCGGTTGCTCCGGTGGTTGCTCCGGTGCAACAGAATAGTGAAGAGCAGCAGAAACAGCAGCAACAGCTGCAGCGGCCGCAGCAACAGGAGCAGGGAGAGCAGGGAGGGGGAGAGCAAGGAGATCAGGCGCAGAGGAAGGGGCAGCAAAAGCAGGGCCGGCAGAGGGGCAGCAGGGGAGGTAGGGGCGACAGGGGAGGGAAGCAGCGACAGGAGTGGCGTGTGGCTGGAGGCCCTGTTGGGAGCAGTGAACAGCATTCAGCACAGCAGCAGCCAGCACAGCAGCAGCCAGCACAGCAGCAGGCTGCACAGCAGCAGCCAGCACAGCAGCAGTCAGCACAGCAGCAGGCTGCACAGCAGCAGCCAGCGCAGCAGCAGGTGCTGGAGCAACCAGAGAAGCTGCTGCAGCAGGAACGTGAAGGTCAGGGGATGGAGGAACAGCAGCTGCAGCTGGAGCAACAGCAGCAGCTGCCGCCGCTGCAGCAACAGGAACAACAGCAGCAGGTGCAGCAGCAGCAGCAGCAGCAGCAGCAAGAGCAGCAGCAACAAGAGGAGCAGCATAAGAAAGACGAGGAGCAACAGAAGGCAGGGGTTGAAGTAGGTGTGGTGACGCTACAGCTCGACCAGCATCAGCAGCATCATCAGCCGCTGCTGCAACAGCAGCAGGGCCAGGGGCAGCAGCAGCAGCAGCAGCCGCAGAAGCTGCAGCAGGAGGAGGGGCAGCAGCAGCAGCAGCAGCAGCCGCAGAAGCTGCAGCAGGAGGAGGGGCAGCAGCAGCAGCTGCAGCAGGAGGAGGGGCAGCAGCAGCAGGAGGGGCAGCAGGCGGTATCAGGCCCAGGTGATGTGTTCACTCCTGCTAATGCCATGTCCCCCTTTCCAGTAGCACCAGGAGCTCTGCCCGCTTCTGCCGCCCCTAGCTTCCATCCCATGCATGTGTTCCCAGGCATGCTACCCCATCAGGCCATGGTGAACCCACAGGGTATGGTGAACCCACAGGGTATGGTGAACAATCAAGGTATGGTAAACTATCAGGGTATGATGGCACATCAGGGGATGCTTCCCCATCAGCCCTTGTCTCATTTCCCCATGCCCCAGCTGCATGCACTTCCGCATGTGGCACATGGCATGCCTGGTCATGCCATGCCAAACCATGCCATGCACCCTAATCATGCCACGCCAAGCCATGCCATGCACTCGGGTCCTCCCATGATGCTCTTTCCTGGGCCTCCTTTTCCCAACGGGCAGTTCGGGCAGGTGGGTCAGCCCATGCAAGCAGGCATTGGCCAGACAAATTTCGGGCAGGTTGGAAGTGTGGGGCAGGTGGGAGTGGGGCAGGCAGGAATGGGGTTCCCTATGTCACAGTATGGCCGAGGGGTATTTGACGAGAATGCAAGCATTCAAGCACACATGGGGCATCAGCAGCAGCAATCAGTGCAGGAGAAGAAAGAGGAGGGAAACAGAGGGGTAGGTAATCAGAAAGGCAGGCAGAGGCAGAAGCAGCGGCACAGCAGCAGCAGCAGCAGCAGCAGGAGGGGTGGGCGAAAGGGGCAAGCAGTCAAATAGTCAGTCTCAGTCACAGTCTGATCAACCACAGGGGCAAGGTCGCGATTTGTCAGTCTCAGTCACAGTCTGATCAACCACAGAACACATGGGTCGCGATTTGAAGTGCCTGCGCATGGGAGTGTGGTGCCCCCACCGCGGTTCCAGCAGCAGCAGCAGCAGCAGCAGCAGAATCAGCTGCAGCGGCAGCAGCAGGTGCAGATGCAGCAGGTGCAGGGGCATACCCAGCAGCAGCGCCTGCAGCAGCAGCAGCAGCACCGCCACATGCAACAGCAGCAGCAACAACAACAGCAGCAGCAGCAGCAGCAACAGGGTGTATGATGGAACTTCAGTGATGGTACCCAGTCAGCAACCACCCCAGTCACAGGTAGCGTTCCCTCCTTCACCTGTCTTTGCCGTTTAACGAGAATTTTGCTAAGTTAGTGTTTTCCTGCTTCGAAACCCTTGCGTCTTACTGTTGATTCCACCAGTTCGTTCCTTCTCTCAAGCTCGTGTCTGTATCCTGCATGGCACTGCTGCTGTGCTGGGGCCAACTGCATGCGTACGTAAGGTCATAGTCTCATTCACTTCTTTCAGTAGAGCTACCCGCTCATGCCGTGTTTACCTTTTGAGTCGACTCAAAAGTCACCTCATGCCATGCTTACCTTTTGAGTCGACTCAAAAGTCACCTCATGCCGTGCTTACCTTTTGAGTCGACTCAAAGTCACCTCATGCCGTGTTTACCTTTTGAGTCGACTCTGAAGTCACCTCATGCCGTGTTTACCTTTTGAGTCGACTCAAAAGTCACCTCATGCCGTGTTTACCTTTTGAGTCGACTCAAAAGTCACCTCATGCCATGTTTACCTTTTGAGTCGACTCAGAAGTCACCTCATGCCATGTTTACCTTCCTCCCTCTTCGCTCTCTCTTCTCTGCAGACCTCACAGCAGCAGGCCTTGCAGCAGCAGAACATGCCCTACCTCTGGCCACACCTTCCCCAGTTTCCACCTCCCCAAGTAGGCCCTGCACCCCCGTTCCCCCCCATGGGTCACTCCCTGCTCCCGTTCCCTCCGCCCGCTCTCCACTCCTCTCAACACCCCCAACCCCAGCCAACTCAACAGATTCTCTCACCAGCGCCGCCCCTGCTTTCCCATACCAGCGCCCCAGGTTCGGCTATGTCACAAGCTGAACCAGCCAGTGGTATGGCGGGTTCCCAAGCCTTGGAGCTAGGCTTGGAAGGAGGTAACCGGGACGGTGGTGAGAAGGGAGGAGAGGGAAGCGGAGTGAAGAGGAGCGGGGAAGAGGGAAGGAGGCACGTTGTTGGGGTTTCTGCTAGTGACAGGGAAGCTAAAGCTGCTGCTGCTCCTGCTGTTGGCAATGGTGCTGACAAAGAAGAGGCTGCTGTTGCAGCTTCTGCAAGTGACGGTATTGCTTCTTCTGTTTCTACTGCTGGATCTTCTAACAATTCCGCCACCACCAGCGCAATCGATGATCATCGGTTCCCAGAAACTCTGGGCGATGGGGACACCACGTTGATTTCTGGCGATACCAGCTTGACTTCTACTTCTGTGCCCCACTCAAGCGCCCAGTCTCTCTCCTCTCGCCCTCTGCTACACACACACGCCCATCATGCGCCGCCTCCCCTGCAGCCGGGCTCCTACCGTGGGCCTGTGCTTGGGGTGCCAGGGCAGCAGCAGAGTGGAGTTGTGCCGCAAGGGAGCATGGCAGGGGCAGCAGCTCTGGCTCAGTCAGGAGCACAGTCAGCAGCACAGACAATGGCACAGTCAGCAGCACAGACAATGGCACAGTCAGCAGCACAGACAATGGCACAGTCAGCAGCACAGACAATGGCACAGTCAGTAGGAGTGGGGATGGTAGGAGCTGGTGGTGTGCCCGTTTCCCTTCCCAATGTCTACCTTTCACAGCTTGGGCCTGTGCCTGTTGGTATGGCAGGAGGTATGGCAGCTGCACAGAGGTATGGGAATAGGTTTGGCGGAGGCTCAGACCAAGGCGTGGGCTACTACCAGGGCAGGCCTGCTGGTCCGGGTGGGAACAAGAGGCGGCCTCGCCAGCCGCCGAGGCTCACCCGAGCCTCCGGCGGAGGTTCAGGAGATGGTTTGGGTGGTAACCAGCAGGGTAGTGTGGCATCTGTCAACCAGCCAAGTCTTAATGGACATGTGGGTTTGATCCCACACCAGCATGGCTACTCCGGGTAGCAATGGTTGCTGCATGGGGGAGGGAATGGTTGTGGTGATAAGGGAGTACCGTATCAGGGGAGAAAAGAGACCAGAGCAGGTGGGTGTGTGTGTTGAAAGAGGCATGGATGCATTTGATTTGTGGGGAATGAGAGGCAGGCAGTAGCAAGAGAAAGGTGCAAAATTCTGGCATGTTTTGTTTTGTTTCTGGGCAGCTCAGCTTAGGGTTGGACCTGGTTCATTGGTTGACTTGTTTTTCTGCATGATTGCTTTGATTTGATCCTTGATTGCTTGATCCCTCATCTGGTGTTAAGCTATGTTGTCAGAGATTCTCTTTGGGTGTCAGGGTGGGGCACGAGTTGTGACTGGTGCAGTGCATAAGTCTGGGCAGAGTTGTACGTTATTTTATGCAATTTTATCCTATTAGATTGTTGGATTGGATTAGACTTTGGAGTTATTTCAAGAGATATGCAAAGCAGGGTGCCTAGAAGGGTGCACTAACTGCTAACCTGTTAGAAGCACATCAGCTTGGTGGTTAGTATTGAGCGCCATCATAAATTTTCCATTTAATTCCTAGTACTGTTTTCTAATAGTTCGTAAGATAAGTTGTTTGTGCAGTTATACTTTCCGTTTACTGTAGTAAGCGGGTTTGGGTTTTACTCAGCTTCGCCTCATCGGCAATCCCAGGGCACTGGCTATTTTTATGTCACGTTTCTCTGATATCTCGATTCTGACATTCTGGTCCTTCCTTTCCTGACACCTGCGAGGGCGGCACCGCGAACGAGTTCTCTTACTTGCTCCTTTAGCGAATAACTAGCATTGCCTCCTTCTTCGACGGTAGTTGCAATGGCTCCGCCAGCCACCGCGAAAGCTTCCAGTGAGGTGGGTGATTAGCGTTACCGTTTCTACCGACTAGGAACCAACTTGTAAATCCCGTCAGGCCAAATTCCGGCGTCGTTGCGATGACTCCTCCCCGCCATGCCTGATCCGTGTGCAATCAATGTCCTTTCTCAGATCGCGCGAATGTCGGCATATTGCGATAGAATAGGTTCTTCGTAACTTAATCTTCGGAACGGCATCCTGGCTCTTATAGCTACAAAAGCTACTAGCATGACTTTCGAGTGGTTACAAAAAGTTTCGACTCGTCTTTAAGTAACTTTCTGCTCGGGGCGAAAGCTTAGTCTCGTACGTGCGGAAATACAGCAGGGTTTCTTGAATCCACATAGTCGCGGCTCGACGAGTGTCGCTTCTAGCCTAGACAGGGACTGAGAAAATCTAAGAATGCGAGAATTCGATATTCGCAAAGACGGCTTAGAGTCGTTTCGTGTGTCAAGCAGCCTACGCGTTTCACACGATCACTCGATTACTCGATCACCTGATCACCTGATCGCCTGATTGTCCTTGATGCGCTCACCAGATCCAAGGCGGGCAGTCAGCGCGTATCGCACAATCAAACGATCACTCGAACGGCCCTCGAATCTGCTTACAATAAGTAGAATACCCACGCTGATCCTGTTAAGCCTCTCTCTTCTCCCCTCTCCCCCATTTCAGGCTCAGCCTCAAGAAGGTGCGAAGAGCCACGTGCGGCGGGACCTGCTGTTGCAGATTCAGGCGGCCGTGCAGAAGCAGTGGGAGGAGGAGAAGGTATTTGAAGCCGCGGCCAAGGAGGGATCAGCTGCAGGGTCTGGTCCGCGGGATGACCGCTTTTTTGGCAACTTCCCTTACCCCTACATGAACGGGCTGCTGCACCTGGGCCATGCGTTCACTCTCTCCAAGGTGAGACTGCGTCACGCTGAGGCCTGTGTTGCGCAGCTGCAGGGTCTGGCTTACGGGATGACCGCTTCTTTGGCAACTTCCCCTACCCCTACATGAACGGCCTGCTGCATCTGGGCCATGCGTTCACTCTCTCCAAGGTGAGACTGGGTCACTAGGGCCAAGGAAGGAGCAGCTGCAGGTTCCGGCCCTTGTGATGACCGCTTTTTGGCAACTATTCCTTCATGAACGGGCTGCTGCACCTGGGTCATGTGCTCACTGCGTCTCATGGGCCGCGTTGGGGCTATGCATAAGTTTAGGGTTACAATCTATGCAGTTTACCATCTTCCCATTCACCCCCTCCTGTGTCCACCAGTATCGCACTCGTTGTGTCCTATCTCTCTCTCTCTCACTGCCTCTCTCCTCTCTCCCACGTTTTGCAGGTGGAGTTTGCATCGGCGTACCACCGGCTGCGGGGAGCCAACGTGCTGTTCACGTGACAGCCCATCATCCTTATCCTTCACGCCTTATCCCTCCCGCTACCCTCCCTCGCTGCCCTCCTTCAGGTGGAGTTTGCATCGGCGTACCACCGGCTGCGGGGAGCCAACGTGCTGTTCACGCGACAGCCCAGCATCCTTATCCTTCACGCCTTATCCCTCCCGCTACCCTCCCTCGCTGCCCTCCTTCAGGTGGAGTTTGCATCGGCGTACCACCGGCTGCGGGGAGCCAACGTGCTGTTCACGCGACAGCCCAGCATCCTTATCCTTCACGCCTTATCCCTCCCGCTACCCTCCCTCGCTGCCCTCCTTCAGGTGGAGTTTGCATCGGCGTACCACCGGCTGCGGGGAGCCAACGTGCTGTTCCCCTTCGGTTTCCATTGCACCGGCATGCCCATCAAGGCATGTGCGGACAAGCTAGCGCGGGAGATGGACACATATGGCTACCCTCCCCAGTTCCCCAGCGAGGAGGAAACGACGGCTCTGGAGGCGCTCTCCATTGCGGAGGGCAGCGCTGCTGCAGATGGGGGGGGTGGGGCAGCCGCGGACGGGGCTAAGGGGGAGGAGCAGAAGGCCCCTGGGCAGTTCAAGGGGAAGAAGGTGAGGGATTCTGGAAATGCAGCTGATTAAGCTGTCGAGTTTTTAGGCAGCTTCATCAGCTCCATATGGCAGTGGTAGTGACGGTTGGAGAGAGGAGGAAGTGGTGGGGGTTGCATGGTGGGGGGTGCATGGTGCTGTTGTGTACTGTACAACAAAATGATTCTGGTCAGGTATGGGGCAGGTTTATTTTTTGTCGGTCTGAGATTGGAGCTCACAAATGTTGCTTCAGCTTCGCGTTCGTCAACATCTCATCATGGTCCTTATCCCTGAGCTTGCACCCCTTCACCCTCCTCATCTCTCTGTCTTTCCTCTCTCTCGCCCCTCCCTGCCTCATCCCCACAATTCACTGCCCACTCCGTTACCCCCTGCATACGTTTTCTGCTTCTCAACACCTCGTCACATATTGGTGGTTATGGCTGTGGCTGTGGCGCTTCCTTCTCGCTTCTCCTGCTTCGCGGCACTCTGAATGTGGCTGTGGTTTTTATTGCTGGCAGTCCAAGGCAGCTGCCAAAACAGGGACGGCTAAGTACCAGGTAGGCGGAGATGGTGCAGATGGTGGGGAAAGATGGTGCAGTGGTGCGGGATATGGCATCAGATATCATTAGACAACATTTAACATTAGGTGAGACATCACAGGGCATCATGCCACGTCATGTCATGCCACATCATGCCACAACCACGACATGTCATGACATGTCACATCAAGCAACCTATGCCGATGATGACATGGACCATTCATGATCTTATATGCGTCTCAACCACTCTCACCACACATCCACCGTCCCTTTTCTCACCCCTTCTCACCTCTTCCAACCCCATCTCACCCCCTGTCGCCCCTTCCCACACCTTCCGACCCCCTCCCACCCCTTCTCACCACCAGTGGGAGATCATGCGGTCGATGGGCATGTCAGACGAAGAGATCAAGCCTTTCAGAGACCCCGCGCATTGGCTCACCTACTTTCCCCCCATTGCCGTGGTATGTGCTGCTATCTATGTGCTGCTGCTGCTGCTGCTTCTCTGAGCTATGCTTTGCTCTGAATCGTCCCGTAATTAGACCTTGCTGCTCACTGGCTCATCAGCTTCCCCATTTGCATTCTGAGGCCCCTCAGAATTCCTCGAACTTTGTTGGTCCCCTCACCCTCTGACTTTCAATACTCTCCCACTGTGCATGATCTCAGGACGATCTCAAGGCGTTTGGGCTGGGAGTGGACTGGCGCCGTTCTTTCATCACCACCGACATAAACCCTCCTTGACCCCTCGTGCATTCTCATGCCCTCTCGCATCCCGCCCCGCACACACACCCTCATGAATGCTCGCAGGACGATCTCAAGGCGTTTGGGCTGGGAGTGGACTGGCGCCGCTCTTTCATCACCACCGACATGAACCCATATTATGACTCGTTCGCTCGCTGGCACCTGCAGTCTCTCTACAACAAGGGCAAGGTGCGTGTGTGTGGCACGTAGAGTGGTGCACATAGGTGAGTGCATCCGTTCCTTCATCACCACCGACATGAACCCGTATTATGACTCGTTCGCTCGCTGGCACCTGCAGTCTCTCTACAACAAGGGCAAGGTGCGTGTGTGTGGCACGTAGAGTGGTGCACATAGGTGAGTGCATCCGTTCCTTCATCACCACCGACATGAACCCGTATTATGACTCGTTCGCTCGCTGGCACCTGCAGTCTCTCTACAACAAGGGCAAGGTGCGTGTGTGTGGCACGTAGAGTGGTGCACATAGGTGAGTGCATCCGTTCCTTCATCACCACCGACATGAACCCGTATTATGACTCGTTCGCTCGCTGGCACCTGCAGTCTCTCTACAACAAGAGCAAGGTGGGTGGCATGGGCAAGGTGAGTGCAGGCTGATGGGTGCTCATAGGTGGGTGGCATGGGCAAGGTGAGTGTCATCTAGATGGGTGCATCCCCGCCTTCATCACCATCGACATGAACCCCTACACCATCTTCTCGCCGCTGGACGGGCAGCCATGTGCCGACCATGACAGGGCGTGCCTCTTTCCCTCCAATCTCCAATCCAATGCGTCCCATCCCACCCACTTCACCCACTTCAGGTGGTGAAGGACCGCCGCTACACCATCTTCTCGCCGCTTGACGGGCAGCCATGTGCCGACCATGACAGGGCGTCAGGGGAGGGCGTGCTTCCCCAGGAGTACACGCTCATCAAGATGCAAGTGGTCCCGCCGCTCACAGGTACTGAAGGGGTGTGAGGGGAAGGCTGTGAGGGGAGTGAGGGGAGCGAGGGTAGGGCTGTCAGGGGAGGGAATTCTGCCTCAGGAGTACACGCTCATCAAGATGCAAGTCGTACCGCCACTCACAGGTACCCACGGCAGGGGTGTGAGGGGAAGGCTGTGAGGGGAGTGAGGGGAGCGAGGGTAGGGCCGTCAGGGGAGGGAGTTCTGCCTCAGGAGTACACGCTCATCAAGATGCAAGTCGTACCGCCACTCACAGGTACCCACGGCAGGGGTGTGAGGGGAAGGCTGTGAGGGGAGTGAGGGGAGCGAGGGTAGGGCCGTCAGGGGAGGGCGTGCTGCCCCAGGAGTACACGCTCATCAAGATGCAAGTGGTCCCGCCGCTCACAGGTACTGAAGGGGTGTGAGGGGAAGGCTGTGAGGGGAGTGAGGGGAGCGAGGGTAGGGCTGTCAGGGGAGGGAGTTCTGCCTCAGGAGTACACGCTCATCAAGATGCAAGTCGTACCGCCACTCACAGGTACCCACGGCAGGGGTGTGAGGGGAAGGCTGTGAGGGGAGTGAGGGGAGCGAGGGTAGGGCCGTCAGGGGAGGGAGTTCTGCCTCAGGAGTACACGCTCATCAAGATGCAAGTCGTACCGCCACTCACAGGTACCCACGGCAGGGGTGTGAGGGGAAGGCTGTGAGGGGAGTGAGGGGAGCGAGGGTAGGGCCGTCAGGGGAGGGCGTGCTGCCCCAGGAGTACACGCTCATCAAGATGCAAGTCGTACCGCCAGTCACAAGTACATGGGGTGGGGAAGGACTAATAGGGAAGGCCTGTGAGGGTTGTGAGGGTTGTGAGGGACGTGAGGGGAGCCAAGTGAGGAGTAGACCATCAGGGAACGGGGTACTCCCACGTACCCCCGATCCAACATCACGTAATCCCTCTATCCCTAAAACTGTAAAAAGATTGATTTCCTGTTTTTCCTCCCACGTGCCCCCGATCCAATACCAGGCAAGCTCGAGGCTCTTGCGGGCAGAAATGTTTATCTTGCCGCTGCCACGCTGCGTCCGGAGACCATGTACGGGCAGACAAACGCTTGGGTGCTGCCCGACGGGCAGTATGGCGCGTTTGAAGTGAACGAAGCCGGAGACGTGTTTGTCGTGACCAAGCGATCAGCTCTGAACCTCTCCTACCAGTTCCACTCCAAGGTGAGGCGCACTATGCCTAAAGCAGCCCCAGTGTTCGAAGCAACCCCTCTGTAAATAGGTGGTCTTCTATCGCTGCCCTGCCTCTCGTGGCCCTTTTCTCGCTCGATTATCTCTCGTGTTTGTGGTATCCAGGCGATCAGCTCTGAACCTCTCCTACCAGTTCCACTCCAAGGTGAGGCGCACTATGCCTAAAGCAGCCCCAGTGTTCGAAGCAACCCCTCTGTAAATAGGTGGTCTTCTATCGCTGCCCTGCCTCTCGTGGCCCTTTTCTCGCTCGATTATCTCTCGTGCTTGTGGTATCCAGGCGATCAGCTCTGTACCTCTCCTACTACCAGTCCCACTCCAAGTTCTACCAGTTCCACCCCTAGAGCAAGGAACCATTATGCTCCCAGCAACTTCTGTCTTGGTTGTGGCTATTTTGTTTTTTGAGGCGCCTCAAAAATCGTCTCAGTTCACCAGGAACCATTATGCTCCGATCAACCCCTGTCTTCGTAGTGGCTATTTTGTCTGTACCGTTATCTCCCCTTTTCCCGCTACAGGAGTTTGGCAAGCCCAACTGCCTGCTGGAGCTGACGGGGCACGACCTGATTGGGCTGCCTCTCAAGGCGCCTCTGACGCCCAACCCGGTCATCTACGCCCTCCCTATGCTCACCATCCTCACGGACAAAGGTGCGTGCGCTGTGTATTTGGCAGGACTTGACGACTTCATACATGCCATGCTACTTACTTGTGAGTAGCCACGAGTGTGATGCACCAGCTACATACATGGCATTCCACTAACTTTTGTTCGTGCTGGTTTTTGAGAATTCTCAAAAACCAGCTCATTCCACTAACTTATGTTCATGCTCCGTGAACATCGCACGGAGTTCGCCTTCATCCTCTGTGTCTCAGTTTCCAGCCTCCGTGTGCTTCCTGGTGTTTCTACTCTTCCTCTCTCACACACTCCTGACATACGTATGCATTGTGCCTACGCATGCATGCAGGAACGGGAGTGGTGACGAGTGTGCCCAGCAATGCACCAGACGACTACATGGCTCTTGCCCTCTCTGGTTCTACCCCCGTTCTCTCTCACTCTTCTGCCTCTGTGTACTCTTTCCCCCCCACCCCCCCCCAACCCTGCAGGCACGGGAGTGGTGACGAGTGTGCCCAGCGATGCACCGGACGACTACATGGCTCTGCAGGACCTCAAGAGCAAACCAGGTGGGGTATATGCATACATGCATTCATACATGCAAACTCACATGGATATGTGCATACATACATGCAAACTCACATGGATATGTGCATACATACATGCAAACTCACATGGATATGTGCATACATACATGCAAACTCACATGGATATGTGCATACATACATGCAAACTCACATGGATATGTGCATACATACATGCAAACTCACATGGATATGTGCATACATACATGCAAACTCACATGGATATGTGCATACATACATGCAAACTCACATGGATATGTGCATACATACATGCAAACTCACATGGATATGTGCATACATACATGCAAACTCACATGGATATGTGCATACATACATGCAAACTCACATGGATATGTGCATACATACATGCAAACTCACATGGATATGTGCATACATACATGCAAACTCACATGGATATGTGCATACATACATGCAAACTCACATGGATATGTGCATACATACATGCAAACTCACATGGATATGTGCATACATACATGCAAACTCACATGGATATGTGCATACATACATGCAAACTCACATGGATATGTGCATACATACATGCAAACTCACATGGATATGTGCATACATACATGCAAACTCACATGGATATGTGCATACATACATGCAAACTCACATGGATATGTGCATACATACATGCAAACTCACATGGATATGTGCATACATACATGCAAACTCACATGGATATGTGCATACATACATGCAAACTCACATGGATATGTGCATACATACATGCAAACTCACATGGATATGTGCATACATACATGCAAACTCACATGGATATGTGCATACATACATGCAAACTCACATGGATATGTGCATACATACATGCAAACTCACATGGATATGTGCATACATACATGCAAACTCACATGGATATGTGCATACATACATGCAAACTCACATGGATATGTGCATACATACATGCAAACTCACATGGATATGTGCATACATACATGCAAACTCACATGGATATGTGCATACATACATGCAAACTCACATGGATATGTGCATACATACATGCAAACTCACATGGATATGTGCATACATACATGCAAACTCACATGGATATGTGCATACATACATGCAAACTCACATGGATATGTGCATACATACATGCAAACTCACATGGATATGTGCATACATACATGCAAACTCACATGGATATGTGCATACATACATGCAAACTCACATGGATATGTGCATACATACATGCAAACTCACATGGATATGTGCATACATACATGCAAACTCACATGGATATGTGCATACATACATGCAAACTCACATGGATATGTGCATACATACATGCAAACTCACATGGATATGTGCATACATACATGCAAACTCACATGGATATGTGCATACATACATGCAAACTCACATGGATATGTGCATACATACATGCAAACTCACATGGATATGTGCATACATACATGCAAACTCACATGGATATGTGCATACATACATGCAAACTCACATGGATATGTGCATACATACATGCAAACTCACATGGATATGTGCATACATACATGCAAACTCACATGGATATGTGCATACATACATGCAAACTCACATGGATATGTGCATACATACATGCAAACTCACATGGATATGTGCATACATACATGCAAACTCACATGGATATGTGCATACATACATGCAAACTCACATGGATATGTGCATACATACATGCAAACTCACATGGATATGTGCATACATACATGCAAACTCACATGGATATGTGCATACATACATGCAAACTCACATGGATATGTGCATACATACATGCAAACTCACATGGATATGTGCATACATACATGCAAACTCACATGGATATGTGCATACATACATGCAAACTCACATGGATATGTGCATACATACATGCAAACTCACATGGATATGTGCATACATACATGCAAACTCACATGGATATGTGCATACATACATGCAAACTCACATGGATATGTGCATACATACATGCAAACTCACATGGATATGTGCATACATACATGCAAACTCACATGGATATGTGCATACATACATGCAAACTCACATGGATATGTGCATACATACATGCAAACTCACATGGATATGTGCATACATACATGCAAACTCACATGGATATGTGCATACATACATGCAAACTCACATGGATATGTGCATACATACATGCAAACTCACATGGATATGTGCATACATACATGCAAACTCACATGGATATGTGCATACATACATGCAAACTCACATGGATATGTGCATACATACATGCAAACTCACATGGATATGTGCATACATACATGCAAACTCACATGGATATGTGCATACATACATGCAAACTCACATGGATATGTGCATACATACATGCAAACTCACATGGATATGTGCATACATACATGCAAACTCACATGGATATGTGCATACATACATGCAAACTCACATGGATATGTGCATACATACATGCAAACTCACATGGATATGTGCATACATACATGCAAACTCACATGGATATGTGCATACATACATGCAAACTCACATGGATATGTGCATACATACATGCAAACTCACATGGATATGTGCATACATACATGCAAACTCACATGGATATGTGCATACATACATGCAAACTCACATGGATATGTGCATACATACATGCAAACTCACATGGATATGTGCATACATACATGCAAACTCACATGGATATGTGCATACATACATGCAAACTCACATGGATATGTGCATACATACATGCAAACTCACATGGATATGTGCATACATACATGCAAACTCACATGGATATGTGCATACATACATGCAAACTCACATGGATATGTGCATACATACATGCAAACTCACATGGATATGTGCATACATACATGCAAACTCACATGGATATGTGCATACATACATGCAAACTCACATGGATATGTGCATACATACATGCACGTGCGCATAAAGTGTGGTGGTATGGCAAAACCAACGAGTGTGCCCAGCGATGCACCGGACGACTACATGGCTCTGCAGGACCTCAAGAGCAAACCAGGCGATCCGTGGGATATGCACATGCATACATGCATGCATGCATCCATACATTATGAAGTTTGTGGTATTGATGGATAAGACACCACTCTTTCTACCAAATGTGCCCGGCGATGCACCGGATGACTACATGGCTCTGTAGGACCTCAACAGCAAGCTGGGTGAGCCATGGGGTACATGCATATATACTCCCATACATATACACATACGTGCGTACATGTGTATATGGATATGTGCATACATATGCATACACACCTGTGTTGCAGAAGGTATGGTATGGCGACAGCACACACATCTCGTACCACATGCTTTCCTCCTCCCCTCCGCACTGCACATGTCCGTCCATCCCCATGCCTATGCCTATTCCCATCCCTATGCCCATCCCCGTTTCTGTCTCCATGCCAATTCACATCCCCATGCTCATTCCACCCCCAGCCCTGCAAGGCTAGTCTAGCATGAAGGACGGGTGAGTGTTGCCGTTAGAGGTCAATTGCTCTGGCACTTGCTCCCTTCCCTTTCTCCACTTATCCACCCCTTTCTACCTTTCTCAATCCTGCTTACTTTCCCCAACCGCGTCCCCAGCCCTGCGAGCCAAGTTCAACGTGAAGGACGAGTGGGTGCTGCCCTTCGAGGTCATCCCCATTATAAACATCCCCGAGTTTGGTGACGCAGCGGCAGTCAAAGTGTGCCAGGACCTCAAGATCCAGAGCCAGAACGACAAGGAGAAGCTCGCCGAGGCTAAGAGACTTACTTACCTCAAGGTGGGTGAATGGTTGCAGAAATCACTTACCTCAAGGTGACTGAATAGTTGTTTATCAGAACAGAACTGCGGTGTCGCTTTATTTTCGTTCTCCTGCTTTTCTGTTTCTGTCCAGCTAGATCGCAATCGTTCTGCTTTCCTATCCTTTCCTCCTCCCATGTGTGCATGCAGGGTTTCACGGATGGAGTGATGCTGGTGGGCGAGCTCAAGGGAACCAAGGTGCAGGACGCCAAGCCGCAGATCAAGAAGGTATGTGCTTACTGTGATAGTATGCAGACTATTTGTGGTGGTGTGACTGCATGCTCAGAACGTGACTTTCCTCCAGTTGTTGATTGAACGGGGCGAGGAAGTACCCTACAGTGAGCCAGAGAAGCGAGTGACATCGCAGTCATGCAGTGAGTGTGTGGTGGCGCTGACTGATCAGTGGTACATTACATATGGCTCCTCTCCCCTTCCTCCTTTGTTCCCTTCCCCCCCAGCTGTTAATCGAAAGAGGCGAGGCAGTGCCCTACAGCGAACCTGAAAAAAGAGTCACATCGCGGTCGGGCGATGAGTGTGTGGTGGCGCTGACAGACCAGTGGTACCTCACGTACGGGGAGGAGCAGTGGCGCGCACACTCAGACCAATCGTACCTCACTTACTGCCCTTCACTCTCCCCTCCTACTCCCCCCTACAGCTTCTGGTTGAACGAGGTGAAGCAGTGCCATACAGCGAGCCAGAGAAGCGAGTAACCTCACGATCAGGCGACGAGTGTGTGGTGGCGCTGACAGACCAGTGGTACCTCACGTACGGGGAGGAGCAGTGGCGTGCGCTGGCAGAGGAGTGTCTGGCGGGCATGCAGCTCTACAACGAGGAGACTCGGCACGGGTTTCAGCACACGCTGGGGTGGCTCGATAGGGTGAGTCAGAGATATGGGCAGGGACAGGCGTGGGCGGATAGGAAGGGAAGAGAGGGGGCATAGGGAAAAGGGCCGGGCATGGGAGGGCGCCATGCTCCATCAGAGTAGTGTCTTGCGGGCATGCAGCTTCACAACGAGGAGATGCGGCACGGGTTCCAGCACACGCTGGGGTGGCTGGATGGGGTGAGAGAGGGGGGATGGGGAAGGAGAGGGTGGGAGGAACAGGGAGAGAGGGCGTGGGGAACGGGTGAGGAAGTGTGTGGTGGCGCGCAGAAACCAGTGGTAAACCAGTGGTAAACCAGTGGTACCCCACGCCACGCCAATGGCCAGTTCATCAGCGGTTTTTGAGTCGACTCAGAAATCGTCTCATCACAATGGCTAGTCCATCAGCGCACCATTCCCGTTTTCCTTTTTCCCTCACCGATCCATGTGCTACACCTCATCTGCCCCGACTGCTCCCTTTTCATCTTCCAGTGGGCGTGCTCGTGTTCATTTGGCCTGGGCACGCGCATTTTCTGGGGTCCGCAGATCCTCAACGCCCCTTTTTTCGTTCAACTTTTCCCAGTGGGCGTGCTCGTGTTCATTTGGCCTGGGCACGCGCATCGCATGGGACCCGCAGTTCCTCATCCTCCCTATTTCGTTTTTCTTTTCCGTCTGTCCATCCCACTCCTCGTACACCTACCTCTTTTCCCCTTGTCATCTCCCAGTGGGCATGCTCGCGCTCCTTTGGCCTGGGCACGCGCACGCGCATCCCGTGGGACCCACAGCTTTTGAGACGTCTCAAAAACTCTTTCGGCCTGGCCACGTGCATCCCGTGGGACCCGCAGTTTTTGGAGAAGTCTTAAAAACTCTTTCGGCCTGGCCACGCGCATCTCGTGGGACCCACAGCTTTTGAGACGTCTCAAAACAAGGGACCCACAGCTTTTGAGACGTCTCAAAAACTCTTTCGGCCTGGCCACGTGCATCCTGTGGGACCCGCAGTTTTTGGAGAAGTCTTAAAAACTCTTTCGGCCTGGCCACGCGCATCTCGTGGGACCCACAGCTTTTGAGACGTCTCAAAACAAGGGACCCACAGCTTTTGAGACGTCTCAAAAACTCTTTCGGCCTGGCCACGTGCATCCCATGGGACCCGCAGTTCCGCAAACCCCCCTTCTCGTTTCCCCTTTTCTCCCTCTGTCCCGCCAACTGCATTGCCTTTTCTTCCTCTGTCCTGCCAACTGCATTGTCTTTTTCCCTTCCAGTGGGCGTGCTCGCGCTCCTTCGGCCTGGGCACGCGCATCCCATGGGACCCGCAGTTCCTCATCGAGTCGCTGTCTGACAGCACCATCTACATGGCCTACTACACACTAGCGCACATCCTGCAGGTGGGTGAGGTACATCTTCCAGGTCAGTGAGAAGGGTTGAGTGCGGTGCTGATGGTGCTTCAGGAGCACCTGCTGAGTCCGCAGTTCCTCATGTCGCTGTCTGACAGCACCGTCTAGATGGCCTACTACACGCTAGCGCACATCCTGCAGGTGGGTCAGATGGGTTGAGTGCGGTGCTTCAGGTATTCAGATGGGTGAGGTGTCTTATGAGTCTCTCTCTGACATGGCCTACTACACGCTCTCACACATCCTGCAGGTGAGTGAGAGGGGTTGATTGAAATGATGTGTTTCAAACCCATTTCCACCATGACTGACAAACCCATGGGGATTCGAACGTGACATGCACATCCCATCGCTAACAACCCACGCCGATCTCTCGTTCTGCTGACCGAAAGCTCTCCGGTGTGTCCCCATTGCTTCACCTGAGCAGGAGGGCGACATCTTTGGCACGTCAGGCAGGCAGAGCATCACACTGGAGCACCTCTCCCACGGCCCCAGACGATTCCACCTCACCTCCTCTCCTATACCCATTCGTCCTTACATCAACTTATCACCACTCACCACCCATGCAGGAGGGCGACATACATCTCTGGCACGTCAGGCAGGCAGAGCATCAAGCCCGAGCACCTCTCCCTCACATCAAAACATTCTGTCCCATCACCTCTTTCACGCCTTCCCCTCCTATCTCCCCGTATCACCACCCACCTACCCCCTACATGCAGGAGGGCGACATCTTTGGCACGTCAGGCAAGCAGAGCATCAAGCCCGAGCACCTTTCCCACGCCCTCTGGGACCATCTGCTGCTGGGCGCGCCCAAGCCCGCCGACTGCGCTGTTCCTGACGACCTTTTGCAGGTGAGGGAAGCTGGTGGGGTATTGCAGTCCAGCAGGGGAGCCATCTCTTCTGTCAGGTTACTTGTACCACCATGCTGCCCTCTGGGACCCTCTGCTGCTGGCCGCACCCAAGCCCGCGTGACCTCAAACCTGACGTCAAACCTGACCTCAAACCTGACATCAAACCTGACCTCAAATCTGACGAACGTCAAACCTGACCTCGAACCTGACGTCAAACCTGACCTCAAACCTGACCTCAAACCTGACCTCAAACCTGACCTCAAACCTGACCTCAAACCTGACCTCAAACCTGACGTCAAACCTGACCTCAAACCTGACCTCAAACCTGACGTCAAACCTGACCTCAAACCTGACCTCAAACCTGACCTCAAACCTGACCTCAAACCTGACCTCAAACCTGACCTCAAACCTGACGTCAAACCTGACGTCAAACCTGACCTCAAACCTGACCTCAAACCTGACCTCAAACCTGACCTCAAACCTGACGTCAAACCTGACCTCAAACCTGACGTCAAACCTGACCTCAAACCTGACCTCAAACCTGACGTCAAACCTGACGTCAAACCTGACGTCAAACCTGACCTCAAACCTGACGTCAAACCTGACCTCAAACCTGACCTCAAACCTGACCTCAAACCTGACGTCAAACCTGACGTCAAACCTGACGTCAAACCTGACCTCAAACCTGACCTCAAACCTGACCTCAAACCTGACCTCAAACCTGACCTCAAACCTGACCTCAAACCTGATATCAAACCTGACCTCAAACCTGACCTCAAACCTGACCTCAAACCTGACCTCAAACCTGACCTCAAACCTGACCTCAAACCTGACCTCAAACCTGACCTCAAACCTGACGTCAAACCTGACGTCAAACCTGACCTCAAACCTGACGTCAAACCTGACCTCAAACCTGACCTCAAACCTGACGTCAAACCTGACCTCAAACCTGACGTCAAACCTGACCTCAAACCTGACCTCAAACCTGACCTCAAACCTGACGTCAAACCTGACGTCAAACCTGACCTCAAACCTGACGTCAAACCTGACCTCAAACCTGACCTCAAACCTGACCTCAAACCTGACGTCAAACCTGACGTCAAACCTGACGTCAAACCTGACCTCAAACCTGACGTCAAACCTGACCTCAAACTTGACCTCAAACCTGACCTCAAACCTGACCTCAAACCTGATATCAAACCTGACCTCAAACCTGACCTCAAACCTGACCTCAAACCTGACCTCAAACCTGACCTCAAACCTGACCTCAAACCTGACCTCAAACCTGACCTCAAACCTGACCTCAAACCTGACCTCAAACCTGACCTCAAACCTGACCTCAAACCTGACCTCAAACCTGACCTCAAACCTGACCTCAAACCTGACGTCAAACCTGACCTCAAACCTGACCTCAAACCTGACCTCAAACCTGACCTCAAACCTGACCTCAAACCTGACCTCAAACCTGACCTCAAACCTGACCTCAAACCTGACGTCAAACCTGACCTCAAACCTGACCTCAAACCTGACCTCAAACCTGACCTCAAACCTGACCTCAAACCTGACCTCAAACCTGACCTCAAACCTGACGTCAAACCTGACCTCAAACCTGACCTCAAACCTGACCTCAAACCTGACCTCAAACCTGACCTCAAACCTGACCTCAAACCTGACCTCAAACCTGACCTCAAACCTGACCTCAAACCTGACCTCAAACCTGACCTCAAACCTGACCTCAAACCTGACCTCAAACCTGACCTCAAACCTGACCTCAAACCTGACCTCAAACCTGACCTCAAACCTGACCTCAAACCTGACGTCAAACCTGACCTCAAACCTGACCTCAAACCTGACCTCAAACCTGACCTCAAACCTGACCTCAAACCTGACCTCAAACCTGACCTCAAACCTGACGTCAAACCTGACCTCAAACCTGACCTCAAACCTGACCTCAAACCTGACCTCAAACCTGACCTCAAACCTGACCTCAAACCTGACCTCAAACCTGACGTCAAACCTGACCTCAAACCTGACCTCAAACCTGACCTCAAACCTGACCTCAAACCTGACCTCAAACCTGACCTCAAACCTGACCTCAAACCTGACGTCAAACCTGACCTCAAACCTGACCTCAAACCTGACCTCAAACCTGACCTCAAACCTGACCTCAAGCCTGATATCAAACCTGACTCCAAACCTGACGTCAAACCTGACCTCAAACCTGACCTCAAACCTGACCTCAAACCTGACCTCAAACCTGACGTCAAACCTGACCTCAAACTTGACCTCAAACCTGACCTCAAACCTGACGTCAAACCTGACCTCAAACCTGACGTCAAACCTGACCTCAAACCTGACGTCAAACCTGACCTCAAACCTGACCTCAAACCTGACCTCAAACCTGACCTCAAACCTGATATCAAACCTGACCTCAAACCTGACCTCAAACCTGACGTCAAACCTGACGTCAAACCTGACCTTTAACCTGACCCCAAACCTGATATCAAACCTGACCTCAAACCTGACCTCAAACCTGACGTCAAACCTGACCTCAAACCTGACCTCAAACCTGACCTCAAACCTGACGTCAAACCTGACCTCAAACCTGACCTCAAACCTGACCTCAAACCTGACGTCAAACCTGACGTCAAACCTGACGTCAAACCTGACCTCAAACCTGACGTCAAACCTGACCTCAAACTTGACCTCAAACCTGACCTCAAACCTGACGTCAAACCTGACGTCAAACCTGACCTCAAACCTGACCTCAAACCTGACCTCAAACCTGACCTCAAACCTGACCTCAAACCTGACCTCAAACCTGACCTCAAACCTGACCTCAAACCTGACCTCAAACCTGACCTCAAACCTGACCTCAAACCTGACCTCAAACCTGACCTCAAACCTGACGTCAAACCTGACGTCAAACCTGACCTCAAACCTGACCTCAAACCTGACCTCAAACCTGACCTCAAACCTGACCTCAAACCTGACCTCAAACCTGACGTCAAACCTGACCTCAAACCTGACCTCAAACCTGACCTCAAACCTGACGTCAAACCTGACCTCAAACCTGACCTCAAACCTGACCTCAAACCTGACCTCAAACCTGACCTCAAACCTGACATCAAACCTGACTCCAAACCTGACGTCAAACCTGACCTCAAACCTGACCTCAAACCTGACCAAAAACCTGACCTCAAACCTGACGTCAAACCTGACCTCAAACTTGACCTCAAACCTGACCTCAAACCTGACGTCAAACCTGACCTCAAACCTGACCTCAAACCTGACCTCAAACCTGACGTCAAACCTGACCTCAAACCTGACCTCAAACCTGACCTCAAACCTGACCTCAAACCTGATATCAAACCTGACCTCAAACCTGACCTCAAACCTGACGTCAAACCTGACCTCAAACCTGACCTCAAACCTGACCTCAAACCTGACGTCAAACCTGACCTCAAACCTGACCTCAAACCTGACCTCAAACCTGACGTCAAACCTGACGTCAAACCTGACGTCAAACCTGACCTCAAACCTGACCTCAAACCTGACCTCAAACCTGATATCAAACCTGACCTCAAACCTGACCTCAAACCTGACCTCAAACCTGACCTCAAACCTGACCTCAAACCTGATATCAAACCTGACCTCAAACCTGACCTCAAACCTGACCTCAAACCTGACCTCAAACCTGACCTCAAACCTGACCTCAAACCTGACCTCAAACCTGACCTCAAACCTGACCTCAAACCTGACCTCAAACCTGACCTCAAACCTGACCTCAAACCTGACCTCAAACCTGACCTCAAACCTGACGTCAAACCTGACCTCAAACCTGACCTCAAACCTGACCTCAAACCTGACGTCAAACCTGACCTCAAACCTGACGTCAAACCTGACGTCAAACCTGACGTCAAACCTGACCTCAAACCTGACCTCAAACCTGACCTCAAACCTGACCTCAAACCTGACGTCAAACCTGACGTCAAACCTGACGTCAAACCTGACGTCAAACCTGACCTCAAACCTGACCTCAAACCTGACCTCAAACCTGATGTCAAACCTGACGTCAAACCTGACCTCAAACCTGACCTTGAACCTGACGTCAAACCTGACCTCAAACCTGAAGTTAAACCTGACGTCAAACCTGACCTCAAACCTGACCTGACCTCAAACCCGGCGTCAAACCTGACGTCAAACCTGACGTCAAACCTGCGCCTCAAACCCGGCCTCAAACCTGACTTCCTATAGACCTCAAACAGGCGTGTATATTCGTGCGGTGCAGTGTATGGGCGTGCGGCTGGAGTTCGGACATAGGACCTGAATCACCTTCACGGAAACCAATTTTTACAGTGCGTAGATAACCACCAGGTGTATCTTGGTATCTCTTAGATAATACATCTATACCCTTTGTAGCTACCTTTTCATCCCCTTCTAACAGAGGGATTATGCGTCTTCTGTTGTGCAGCATACCGGTTTTCCGTCCGTCCGTCCGTCCGTCCGTCCGTCCCCCAAACCACCCCAAACCCCTGAACCCTTGACATCGCGCGCAGGCGGAGTTTGAGTACTGTTACCCGTTGAACACTTTCCTTCCCACAAACCCCTTAGCCTCTAACTTGAGCCCCCCCCAAGCCCAGCCCCCTTCCTCCATTCCCCAAACCCTTCAAATCACAGCGTGCGCGGGCGGAGTTTGAGTACTGGTACCCGTTTGACCTGCGCGTGTCGGGGAAGGACCTGATCAACAACCACCTCACCGCGTGGCTCTTCCTTCCCTCCAAACCCCCACAAAACCCCTAAAACCCCACAAACCCCCCAAAACCCCACAAACCCCCCAAAACCCCACAAACCCCCACAAACCCCCCAAAACCCCCCCTGAACCCATGGCAGCGTGCACGGGCGGAGTTTGAGTACTGGTACCCGTTTGACCTGCGCGTGTCGGGGAAGGACCTGATCAACAACCACCTCACCTTCGCCATCTACAATCACACTGCCATGTTCCCCAAGGTTCGTTTCGTTATAAGCACTGGCACCTTTATTCAATTACATTGCAATCACACTGCCATGTTCCCCAAGGTTCGTTATTAGTATGCGGCTTTATAGATTCACACGTTATTTCTCCAATACTGTTCATGTAGGGTGGTGCTATGCGTTTGCCTTTGGAGGATGGGATGGGATGGGATGGGATGGGATGGGATGGGATGGGTTGTGCACTTGTCCTGATTTGTATGCCTCTCATCATGGTCACACTTTCACGCTTCTGTCACCACACCACACCACCCCACACCACACCACACATCACACCACAGGAGCAATGGCCCAGGGGCTTCCGCACCAACGGCCATCTGCTGCTCAACTCGGAGAAGATGTCAAAGTCCACCGGCAACTTCAAGACCATCCGCCAGGCTATAGGTGCGTTTACCAGCTCGTTTCCAACCTTGTAAAACCTAGGTGTGCTCTTGTGGACTTTGACGATGGGTTGGACTGAAAGCCATCTGCTGCTCAACTCAGAGAGAAGATGACCAAAACCACCGGCAACTTCAAGACCATCCGCCAGGCCATCGGTGCGTTTGCCAGCTGTTTCCAATAGGGTATGCGTGTGCTGTCTTAAACACTGGGTTTGAATCCTTTTGCGGGTGACTCTCTGTTCTTTGCGCTTGTCCTCTTTCCCCTTTCCCATTGCATGCTCCTCCCGTCACCACCTCCACCCCCCCCCCCGCCCCCACTTCCCCCTTTTTAGAGGAGTTCTCATCGGACGCCACTCGCTTCGCGCTGGCAGACGCGGGTGACACGGTGGATGATGCCAACTTCGTGGAGGAGACTGCCAACGCCGCCATCCTCAGGCTCACCAAGTGAGTCAAAGGCTGGTTTGGGGGGTCAGAGGCAGGTGGGCCAGGGAGTGCGGATCGGGTGACACGGTGGAAGATGCTAACTTCGTGGAGGAGTCTGCCAACGCCGCCATCCTCAGGCTCACCAAGTAAGACAGAGGTTGCGTGGGTGATTTTTGTGGGTGGGGTTGCAGCACCCCACCCTCAGCCAACGCCGCCATTCTGAGGCTTAGCAAGTGAGTGAGTCAGAGGGTGCTTTTGGGGTCAGTCAGAGTCAGGTGGGTGAGGAAGTGCGGATGCGGGTGACACGGAGGGGGGGACCATGCAACGGAGGTGAATCGTTGCTCATTCCTCACACCGCCTTCTCTTCCCTTCCCCACGCCCTCTACTTCACAGGGAGATGACGTGGATGGAGGAGGTGCTTGCATCAGCAGCCACAGAGGGGGGTCTGCGCACCGGGGACGAGCGGTCGTTCGCAGACAGAGTGTTTGAGAACGAGATAAACCTCGCTGTGGCTCTCTCCAAGGCCGCCTATGACAACATGCTGTTCCGCGAGGCCCTCAAGACGGGTTTCTTTGACCTGCAGGTGTGTGTGCTCCAGCTTTGAGTCAACTCAAAACTACACTCCACCTGCTGCTGCTGCCTTGCTTGCCATGCTGCACACACCCATCAATCTCTTTATTATTTCCTCTCAGTTCTCTCCACTATCCTCCCTTAACTTTCCCGTCCTCCCAGCTCGCGCGCGACGAGTACCGGCTGTCATGCGGGGCAGCGGCATGCATAAGGACCTGCTGCTGCCTATAATGGTGTATTTCGCGTCTCATGTGCCCTTTGATCTCCCCTTGCCCTCCTCCCCCCACTATCCTCCCGTCTACCCCCATTGCAGCTCGCACGCGACGAGTACCGGTTGTCATGCGGGGCGGCGGGCATGCATAAGGACCTGCTGCTGCGCTTCTGCAAAGTGCAGACGCTGCTGCTCATGCCGGTGCGATGGGGGTGCTAAGGTGGCGTGAAATGAGATTCTGGTCATGCACATGCACATGCACATGCACATGCACATCCACATCCACATCCTTCACATCCCACGCCCATGCCCATGCATAAAGAGTCTGTAATGCTATGGTACCTCATCCTTCACCACCCTGTTGTGTGCATGCATCCCCTCCCTCCGCGCTTTCATTGGGCGTCATTTTTCCAGATCTGCCCGCATTACGGGGAGCACGTGTGGAGAAACATTTTGAAGCTGCCCAGGGCAGGCATCACAGCTGGATGGCCGGAAGCAGCAGCGGCTGACATGACCCTCAAGGCAGCCAACACATACCTGCAGGTGCACTTGCTTGTGTATACTTCTATACATGCGCATGTCCATGCGTGTGTGTGCACGCATGTTGAGTTGCTGTGCATTGCATCGGAAGCAGCAGCTGCCGAAATGACCCTCAAGGCGTCCAACGCGTACCTACAGGTGCGCTGGTGTAGACTTGCATATGTGCATACATGCATGTGTGCCTATAATTTCTCCAGACGCAGCACCTGCCAACATGACCCTTCAAGGCAGCCAACACGCACCTACACTACAGGTGTGCGTGGTCGTATATGTGCACGGGTGTGTGGGTGCTCTAATGGGTCTGTGCATGTGTGTTTGTCATGGGTGCATGTGTGTACAGGTCTATGGGCGTAATCATGCGTTTCTCTCCACCCCCCCCCCCCTTCTCCCTTCTCCTCTCAGAACTGCATATTTGATTTCCGTAAGCTTATCACCAAGCAGCGGGCGTGTTTGTGTGCCCTTGACATGCT